GGCGGGGAGAAGGGGGGTGTGGGGGGAGGGTTGACTGAATATGAGGGCTTTTTCATTGTCATGTTTATGTTGTCATACCCGGAGCCCCCTTTTCCTTTGCGCGGACCTGACAGTTGGTTAGGAGGGGCCAGCTCCACCGTGGCCTGTCGGGGGCAGTTGGGGAGGGGGCATGGGATGCTCCTCAAGACCCTCGTAAAAGGTCATGGTGTCTGGCAATTCAATCCAACCAGGGCTTTCCTAACCTTGGTTTGCCTGAGTTTAAGAGCGGAACTTGTAAAACTTAGTTAAGGGTCGAAATGTCCCCCAGTCCCCTTCTCACTGTTACTGGTCTGACCTGCTCTACCAGCTCGAAGTGTAAACATGATGACATCACTGTTCCTTTCACTCAGCCCCGCTGGCTTTCGTATCAAGTCCGGGATCTTCCTCCTGAGCCTTCACATCCCCACCTCCCATCAGCAACTGTCCGGAAGCCCTGGAGTTGCTCAGCCCCGTGTGATCAATACCCCAGGCCTCGCCCATGCAGCCGCATGATGTCACTGTTGGAGAGGGAGGGGCCCGCACAGTCTCAGGGTTTCCAGGGCGCGGCTTTTCTGCTGTGACACGTTGGGCCACTCTCCCTTGCTTGGCCATTACCCTCGGAAGCACAGCCACTGGGCCCCGCTGCATTGAAACCATTCCTTCTAACCCCCATCAAGCTGGGACCCGCAGCCTGCATCTCTGGTGCCTGTGGCCCACCTGCTCTGCCCCTTGGAGAGTGAGTTAGATCATGGGTTTCTTCCTTTCCAGAAAGCCTGGGCTCCTTGTCCAACTCGGACCACCTCCTCTCCAGCCAGACCTGCATCCCACTTAGCCAGGAGTTCGCTTTCGGGGACTTTTTGTCTGAACAGTCAGTCTGCCAGGCCGGCTCAGGCACCTATTGACTAAACAGGCACCTGCTAGACGCGGTTTCCTGGGAACTCCATGAAAGCGTGGGGACTAGGAGTACAGGTTTGAGAGTCTATGAGACCCAGGCTTGACCCCAGCTCTGTGACCTTGGGCAGTTACCCTGTGAGGCCTGGTTTCCCCATCTGTTTAATGGGGATGATGAAAACACCTGCATTATGAGCGCAGTCATATGAAAGCACTTGGTGCAGTGCCTGGCATATAGTAAGTACTAAATAAATACTTACTACTACTATTATTCTCTTACAGTAACAGTAATGATGATGATATAGTAATACAACTACTGCTACTACTAATAAAACAATCTGAGAAAGATGAACTCATGACCTCTGCTTTTGCTTTTGCCAGAAGCTCACACAGTCCTTACGTTTTGGACCATGGCATCCACGAAGAAGACTGTTCACTGTGGGTTAACCCACATTCCAGCCCTGTTTCTCTCTGAATCTACATTAGACAGCGGGTTCCTTACTCTTCCTCATCCCAACGTCACCCACCTGGCTGAACTGAATGAAATGCATTCCCTCTCCCCCCTCCCTGGAACCACATTGAATTCCACTGATCGAAGAAAATGAGCTCTGAAAACTGGTCAAAGACCCATTTTCCCACTTTTGAAAATGTCAGTGAACCGTGGTGGGGGCGGTTGGGTGGTACTAGCAGTAGCCCTGGGCCTCAAGGCTGACCCCTGTCCCCGCATCAGCAGGTGCCCGGGGGGCTGCCATCTCTCCAGGCTCACCAAGTGGAGGCTCTGGCTCCCCACCCCCACCCCCACCCCATGAGAACTGGATTCCAGCGGATTACACATGAGAATGGATGTTCTTTCTTCTCTCTGACCCAGGCCCAGCGGTCCCGGGCTTCATACACAGGCAGCCGCTTGCTTTGTGAAGGGTTGGAACAGAGATTTGGGGAAAGGCAGGTACCCCCTGGAGGGAGTCACTGTTCCCTTATTCTCTCTCTCCATTTCACGGGGAGCACCAGGCATGGAAGGGCCGGTACTGGGGTGCTGATCAGCTCCACAGTGGGAGGGAGGAGAGGAAGCAAACATAATGTGGAGCTCAGACCTCCCTCTTGCCTGCTTTCCCTCTTGCCTTCGGGTTTCCACCAGCACTTTAATCTCTCGGCGAGCCTCTGCCTGGGACTCTGGGACGGGTGGTGAACAATGCCTCCCTTATTCGCCGTGGAAGGTGTCAGGTCAGGATCCTGACCAACATTTATCAGACTGAAGGGCTGTCCAAGTTCAAATACCAGTGAACACAGGATGTTCTAACTCATGTCACAGAGAAGCTGGGATTCAGGAGCCGAAGCAGCATTTTTTATTATTTGGGCCCATTTCAAATGAAGCAAAAATTTGTGTAGTAGAAAGTTGGAAACCTCCTACATGTCTGGAATCAGTTCAATAAATTATTGTAAATCTCACAGTGGATGTGCGGAATGTACTGAAAATGGCTATATTGGCAGGGAGAAATGTTCATATCATTTTAAGTAAGAAAAAAGCATTGGAAAAGACTATGTACAATATGTTCCTGTGTTGTTTTAAAGGCATATGTCTAGCCCTGGCCGGTGTGGCTCAGTAGGTTGGGTGTCATCCCTTGCACCAAAAGGTTGCTGGTTCGGTTCCGGTCAGGGCACATGTCCAGGTTGTAGGCTCGATTCCCAGTAGGGGGCGTGCAAGAAGCAGCCGATGGGTGTTCTGCTTTCACATCGATGTTTCTCTTTCTCCTTTCCTCTCTCTCTAAAAATCAACAGAAATATTGTCTAAGAAAGAAAAAAATATGAATACTTTAATTCTGAGGGCTGATTCAGATAGTAATGTGTCTCCCTTGTGCACACATCCACCTATAGTTTCCCTTTGGTTGTTTATTCCAGGATGACAGGCCTGCAAGTTTGGAGAGTGGAGGGCAGGAGGTGACTATCCATTTCCCTCCTGAGCCCCAGGTGGCTCTGTCCCCGACCTCAGAGGTCTGGATGAAGGGGACTCACGGGCCTGTCTTTGTATGCAGGGTCCTTGGAGCACTACGCTTCAGCCTTGGCTGCATAAGGAATCAGTCACCAAGGGAGCTTTAAGGACTGCAAAGATTCTGGCTGAATAGGCGTGGGGCACGGCCTTGGCATTGGGAGTTCCCAAAGCTCCCCAAGTGATTCTAATGTGTGGCCACGGCTGAGAACCGTGCCCTAGAACATCATCCCTCCCTCCCTCTGTCCCCTTCTCCCCCCACAGTCCCAGGAGACAGCATTGCTTTGGAGCAAATAGTTTTTTCTTCTCAGTCAGCCCTTCCCTACGTGAAGCAGTGTGGACTAAGCTCTTGAGAGTGTTCGGGGGCCACTGGGGAAAGGAGTTTTCAGAGAAGCCCAGCCCATTTCTAACCACCCCCACCCCCCCCCCCCCCCGTTCTTCAGTATGGAATCGTGCTCGATGCCGGGTCTTCCAGAACCACAGTCTACGTGTATCAGTGGCCAGCGGAGAAGGAGAACAATACCGGCGTGGTCAGCCAAACCTCCAAATGCAGTGTGAAAGGTAAGGCCCAGAGTGGGTCTGGGAGGCCCAGAGGGAGGCCAAGGGAGAGTCCTGTGTCCTTGAAGGCCGGGAGGGGTCCCGAGAAGCTGCCTGGACTGGGTGCCAGGAAACGATGAGATCTCATGCTAGTGCTGCTCCTCATCAGTAACAGTGACCTTGCGTCAGTCCCTGCCCTTCTCTGGGCCACCGTTTTCTCATCTGTAAAACATAGAGGTTTGCAAAGACCTTGCATGCATATGTGCATAACCCATGGACACAGACAATAGGGTGGCGAAGGCAGGGGGTGGGAGTGGGCTGGAGGGGACCAATGGGGGGGGGAGGACATATGTAATACTTTCAACAATAAAGAATTTTTTAAATAAATAAATAAGTGGAACCACAACAACAACAAAAACCACACAGGTTTGGGGGGCATGTCAAGAACTGCGAGTGGTCTGAGACGTTACCTGCCGCTCTTTCATGGATGCTGGTGGGAGACACAAGATTCCTGGGTCACAAATAAAGGGCAGTTTGTTATTCACAGCAATAGCAGCAGCCAGAGTATCAGCTCCTTTTCATATGCGGGTTCTCTGAGGATGATGCAAAGAGGGCCAGACAGTATCTGCTCGCACAGTGGGTTGTATTACAGACGAGAAACCTGAGATTAGGGAATCTGAAACATTTATAAGGGGCACTGAGAGTGCCTGCCTTTTGCTCTGGGGTGCAACTTTTCTCTGTCTTCGGAGCCTGTTTGCTCTGCAAACATCCTTGAAAAATAATCCAGAACAAAGGCAATCAGTGTCTGTGCTCATAAAACATGCAGGAACACGGGAGACAGGTTGTCTCCGAGCAGGTGTATGGGGTGTGGGGAGGGGGGTGGAGGGAGATGGACAATACAGAAACAAGCAGGCATGGCTCTGTTCCAGTAAAGCTTTATGGATAGACCCTGAACTTTTCACAAGTCACAAGATACTCTTTATTCTTCTTTTAACTCCTCTGCCACCATTTTAAAATGTAAAAACTGCCCTGACCCGTGTGGCTCAGTTGGATGTTGTTCTGTGCACCGCGAGGTTTCTGGTTCAATTCCGGGTCAGGGCACATGCCCAGGTTGTGGGCTCAATCTCCATTGCAGGGTGTGCAGGAGGCAGCTGATCGATGATTCTCTCTTGTCATTGATGTTTCTCTCTCTCTCTCTCTCTCTCTCTCCCCTCCCTTCCTCTCTGAAATCAATAAGAATATTTTTTTTAAAAGAAAAAGTTGAGAGGCAGAGTTAACCTTTCCTAACAGTCTTCTTTTGAAGACCAGGGTGAATTCTGATCACCTGCCCTGCTGTGGAGAGCATCCTGGCCTCATCTACCATGATGCATAGGTGTCACAGTTAAGTTTAAGTTAAGGAGACCAGGTAGTTCCTGGAGATCCCCACCTGTTGAAGGAGCGGGTAGGGAGAAGGATTAGACAGAAGAGCGATAAAGTGCAACGCAGGCCTGGCAAAGCTTCAGCCGATCGTAGTTTTCTTTGGGCTGAAATGGCCTGGAGTGGCTGGGTAGCCATACCCTGTCACCTCCAGTCTTTGGATGTTGCCACCCTGGAAAGAGCAAGGCAGCTCTCTACCGTTGAGGCAAACCCTGAAGTTGCTGGCGGCTAGGACGGTAAGTCTTTATTGGAAGGGCATCTGCGTGGCCCCTCTCTGGGCTCATTACAACAAGAAAGTTGGATGGGTGCTGCTTGTCCACATGGCACAGGCAGCAGTAGCCTTGCTCTGACCTGAGCCAGAAATCCCATCTCTGTTCTCCTGATGTCTGAGCTGCTCTCCCCTCCGGGCAGGAAAGAGGGCCCAGGATGCTTGTTTAGAAAAGAGAGACCACCCATTTCAAGAAGAGAGGAGAGTGGAGAATAGTGATTAAGACTTCCCCTCATCCCGGCTGTGTGAGCTCTGCAAAGGGATCGAACCTCTCTGCATCTTGACCCCCTCATCTCTCAAATACAAAGCATAACAATAGTAAAGCCTCCCCCATAGGAGAGATTTGAAGATTAAATGCCATAATATATGTAAAGCAGGTAGCAAACGCCTGGCATACACTAAGCACTCAAACCGTGTTAGCTATTACTGTTCACGGGGCATCACACTTTAGGTTTTCTGTGCCAGAGTTATAAGGTCTGTTCGACCCGGGAAAGCAATGTAGCCAAGTCAGCCCTGACGTCCCTCTGACTTGTAGGGAGACGTGAGACTGTCATGGGAAGGAACACGGGCTGTCTCTCAGGGGTGGGGGCCTTGGCCCACCCAGGGCGGGATTGAGGGGAGGAGCGGGGTCATGGAGCCCACACCACCTCCAGAAATGGGTCTCCCCTCCTTTGATCACAGTAGCCTCCGTGATCCATATATACCCTGAACGACCCAAGGACCACAAAGGAAAGCTTAATTACAGAGCTGAAGTCTGGTTAAGTGTCACCCCCTCGAGGACATGTGGCTTCTCCAAGGATAATTTGGGTTTCTGGTTTCTCAATTGCAAATTTCCCTGGGACTCCCCCGTCTTAGGCAATCCGAGGGGATGTTGAATGCTTGCTTGCCCTGCTGTGTTTCCCGAATGCCTGGGCCCTCAGGAATTTCTTTCTCGGGGGTGCCCTGGTGTGTGTCAGTCTAGGTTGCTGCTCTTTTCTGGGAGTTCCCTGGGTGCTGGTCCCCGTGCTGGTGTGGAGCCCTTCTTGGGGGGGACTGCCTCCTTGACACCCCTCCTCTGTTTCGCTGTGGGCAGCACTCCTGCCTGCTGCTGCCTTCTCCCACAGGGACACTCATGTTTTCCCTCTACACCGGAGCTTAAAACCTCCTTAAACGCCACTGGAGCCTTCTCCTCTATGGAAACCCCTTCAAGAGTTGCCCCAGGGACCAGCCACTACAGTGTTGACAGCACCCTTTGCTCAGACACGTGTGTCTTATGCTGCTGTCCCACCTGGAGTAAGTTTTGTGTCGTCTGCCCGCCCCTCCGTCCCCAGATTGGAATACAGTTTTAACTCTGTTCTTGGGGTTGAGAATCCCAGTATCCCAGGAGCCCATGAGCCCAGTCTCTTTTCCCTCCAGGAGGCTTACGGGACCTTATGGAAACAGGTGACATGCTCGGATGGCCCAGTCCCCATCCCGAGGCCAGCTCTAGCAGAATGTAGTTTGTTTGCTGCAGCCGGGAGCAAACGACCCCCTTCCCGTAGAGTTGCATGCTGGTTTGAAAAACTCATTGATTGATTGATTGATTCATTAGTTCCTTCTTTTATTTAATAAATGTTTACTGGGTACCTGCCATTTGCCAGTAACATTTCTTGAGACTGGGAATTCTAAAACAAACAAAATATACAGGCTCTGCTGTTACAGAACGTACATTCTAATGAAGGAGATAGATAATAAACAGATATGTGATGTGTCAGGGAGAAGTTCTGCAAAGAGAAATCAAGCCAGGCAGGTGGATAGAGAGTGATCGTGCTATTTTAGACATGATCTTCGGGGAAGAACAAAAAAGGTGACAGTTATGCAGAGACAAAAGTGGGACAAGAGAGTGAGCCATGCAAGTTTTTGAGGGAAGAACACGCTGAGCAAGAGAAAAGGCCAAGGTAGAAGCTGCTCCGCATTTTCCAGGAAAAGCAAAGGGGCCAGGGTGGCTGGAGCAGAATGAGGAAGAGGAAGGGGAAGGGAGAGAGGAGACCAAAGCTGTAGCCAGGCCAGCTCGTGGCTTGAGAGACAGTAGGGCTCTGACTTCGACTCCAGTGCAATTTCTGCAAAGTATATTGGGAAGCCACTAGGAGGTTCTGATCAGGAAACTAACATGCTATGACTTACCATTTTTTTTTAATTTTGTTTTATTGCTTAAAGTATTACAAAGAGTATTACATATGTCTCCTTTTTTCCCCCCTTGACCTTCCCCCGGCCTCCCCTACCCCCCAGTGTCTTGTGTTTATTGGTTATGCTTATATGCATGCATACAAGCCCTTTGGTTGATCTCATACCGCCCCCACCCCCCAACCCTCCCAACTTATGACTTACCATTTTAACGGATCCCTCTGTTGATACAGAACACGTAGTGATAGGCTAAGATTGGAAGCAGGGAAGCCAGGGCTATTAGAACAGTGCGGGTGACAGATGATGCTGTGATGGTCTGGCCTGGACAGGTGCTTCTCAGCATGGGGGGATTTTGCCCCTCCCCCTGTTCCATCCACCCCCTGGGAACATTTGTCTGGGGACATTTTCAATGGTCCCAGCTGGGGTTGGGGATGGTGCTGGCACCTAGTGGTAGAGGACAGAGATGCAGCTAAACATCGCACAAGGCACAAGACAGCCTCCACAAGAGTTATCCGGCCCAATGTGAGCAGTGCTGAGGTTAAGAAATTCTGGTCTGGAATGGCCCTGGGGGACGGGGTGAGGTGGGCTCAGATTGGAGAGCTGTTGTGAAAGGAGAGCCAACAAGAATTAAGGATAGATTCAATGTGAGGCATCCCGTTGATGGTGCCTGAGCATCAGTTCTGAGCTGGTAACTGCAGGTGATGGTACCATTTCCCTGTGCAGTCAGCTGGGGACTTGCAGGGATTGAGGAATTTGATTTTGGGCACAGGAAGTTGGATGGAGGGGCCTAAGTCAAGCTGGCAAACGTTTTCTGTAAAGAGTTAGGTGCTAAATACTCTTTACTTGTTGGCCACATGGTTTCTGACATAACTATGTAACTCTACCATGTGAGCATAAAAGCAGCCACAGCCAATAGGCAGACAAAATATGTATTTCAAGAAAGCTTTATTTCTGGAAACTGTACATGCCTAGTGGGATATTCCCCAAGGACAGAAAGAACTTTAAAATAATCTTAGACTGTTTTCAATGATGATACAGTTGGTGGTAGTGCGGTGTTGTCATACTGAGACTTGTGTGTGGACTGTGAAATAAAGCAAATGAGTTGTTAAGTTGGAGTGCTAGCAAACAGGATTGGTAGCATAGAAAAAAGAAGATCAGGGTAGAAAAATTAAAGAATTTCAGTAAAAACCTGTAGTTTTGAATTAGAAGCACCAACAAGAATTCATGATATATTTTTCTCTGGAAATAAAGTTTTCCTGAGGTCTGTCCTCTGAGAAAACTTACAGTGAGCACCGTAGCTCCCAAACTTTGGGTGCTAAATACCATTACTCAGTAAAAGCAACCAGGGCTCCTTGGAGAAATGGCTGAGCCCAGATCTGGGGCAGGAAGTAGATAAGGTCATTGACACATCTCACCGTGTCAGAAAGCAAAGATCTCAGAGGACTCGGGGCCAACTGAAGAAGGCTCAGTAAGAATAACTGCAATGAATTGAAACGCATCAAATATACCTTTACCAGTATATGTTCCTAACATACAAAACAAACAAACAAAATCCCTCTCTGACTAAGTTAGAAGGATATTGGAGAGGCAGTCTGTATTTTTAAGCTGGTAAATAAAGGAACAGAATCAAGCTCTTATCCTGTCTTCTCTGGACAAACGGTACTGTAGGGTAACCAAATAGTTCATGGTGGGGTAGCTCTTCTCCCATGACAGCATTTTAGGTAGAAAATATCACCATTTTACAGGCCCTCCTGGACCGACGGGTCTCAGCAGCGATCATTGGTGCCTGCACCCAAAGAGAAACAGCCAATCACTGGCGCCTCTGATTGGAAGTACGCACTAATCCCTATGAATTCTTGTTTCAAGCCTGAATCTGATTAAGCCTCAACATTCAGTTACCAATTTCTACGAAAAACCGGGACCAAATAACATGTTAAAAATGAACCATGGGGATTCGGTCAGCAACTTCTAGGCTGTGGGGAACTCTACAAGCCAAATTAAATTGGGAGGGGGGAAAATTTTGAATTACCAAGAAAAAATAGAGATGCACAGCCTCTAGATCAGTGGTTCTCAACCTTGGCTGCACATTAGAATCACCTGGGAATCTTTTTAAAATCCTGATTTCTGGGCCTCATCCTCCGGAAATTCTGTTTCTTTGTTATGGGGTGGGGCCACAACATTAGTAACAAAGAAACAGAATTTCCGGAGGATGAGGCCCAGAAATCAGGATTTTAAAAAGATTCCCCGGTGATTCTAATGTGCAGCCAAGGTTGAGATCCACTGCTCTAGATTAAGAGAGACTTAGAGATCTGCCAACCAACTGCAATGGGTGGGATTTATTTGGACTCTAATTCAAATAAACTAGAAATTTTTTTTTAAAAAAAAAAAAAAAGGGAAAAAGGGGGGGGGGGGGCGGAGAAAAAATATGACCAAAGAGCAAATGTGAACCTTAACTAGATATTTGACTGTGTTAAAGGGCGACTTTAAGTTCTTATAGGTATAATAGTGGGTGGTGGCCATGCCTCTTTAAAAGAACTCTTGTCTCTGGTGATGCACACTGAAATATTCGCAGGATGAAAAGATACCATGTCTGCGGTTTGCTTCTGAGGAGAGAATGGGGGCGGGGGTGCAGGTGAAGTAAGAGGTGATCATTGTTGGAGCTGGGAGGTGGTGCGTGGGTTCCCTGCATTATTCTCCCTACTTTTATTTACATTTGAAATGTCTAAAATGAGAACGTTTTTTGTAAAAGTGCATTTATTAAGGCAGCCTGCTATAAGGGTAGACTGAGGCTCTCTAGAAGGTGAGGTCTGGGTATATTTTTAAAATTGAATTTATTGAGGTAGCATTGATTATTAACATGACATAAATTTCCGGTGTACACAATATAGTTTGATATCTGTGGACTCTACTGCATGCTCACCACCTGAAGTCGTTTCCTTCCATTACCGTATATGTGACCCCTTTACCAATTCAAGAACTTTTTTAAGCAGGTTAATTTTTTCACCCTGGCTCAGTTTTTTCACCTTTGTAATTCCCTCCTTCCTATTTTGGGAGTTGACTCACCAAGGCACCGAGCACACCCACCCACTGAAACCTATTCATTTCCAAAGCTGATTGGTTTTTTATTTGAAAGTTGTGCTGCTCTTGTTGGTTCCTGGGGTTGCTAAGAAGTGCTGACTGCTTGCTCTTTAGGCTCTGGGATCTCCAGCTATGGGAAAAACCCCCAAGATGCCCCCAAAGCCTTCGAGGATTGCATGCAAAAAGTCAAGGAGCAGATTCCCGCCCACCTGCAGGGATCCACGCACATTTACCTGGGCGCGACGGCTGGGATGCGCTTGCTGAGGTAAGGGCAGGACGGGCACGGAGCAGCCCATGTGACCAAAATAGCCAAGAATGTGTTGGACTTTGCCAAGAACGTAACTCTGTTTCTGGGAACAAATCCCAAAGACAGAAGCCCATATTCTGCCATAAATGTAGACTTTAAAAAGTTGGGAAATTTTTCGTCTTTATTTTAATACCCAGAAAGAAATAGTTCTGAAATCGATTCCCTTGCCCTTGGCAATTCGAATGAGAACTCTGAGAAAGGGGAAGGTGACATGAAATCTGTTCACAGGGTTAACTCTAGTTTTTAGAAAAGTAGAAACTTTGTTGTTGTTTTTGTTGTTTAATATATTTTTTAATTGATTTCAGAGAGGCAGGGAGAGGGAAAGATAGAAACATCAGTGATGAGAGAGAATCATTGGTCGGCTGCCTCCTGCATGCCCCTTACTGGGGATCGAGCCTGTAACCCGGGCATGTGCCCTGACCAGGAATTGAACGCTGACCTCCTGGTTCATAGGGCAATGCTCAACCATTGAGCCACACCAGCTGGGCAAAAAGTAGAAATTGTTTATGACACCTCCTATGTTGACACCTGTGCACAACCAGCTCCACTGAGGGCCACCCATAGCTATGTAGCTTGTACCCATGTACAAAACGACACTGAAATCTACTTCAAAGTCACGAAATGTCTGCACCTCCCCTCACCCCATCAAAGCCTTTGGAGTTATTATGAAACAAACATCTCATTTCATCCAACTAAGCAGTTCCTTCTAGATTTGCAGCCATGACTTAGCCCAGTTGCATTGTTTCTGAAGGCCATTTATCTCCATTTCTCCATTATAGTATTTCATTGGCCTTGAAATAAAAGAAAAAAATCGTTTTAAAAAACAACAACATCGAACTCAAATCTCTCTAGGGTAGAAGCTGCTCCAAACTTTGAAAAATCAGGCTTTATCCCCAAAAGATGACACTCATTCTCCTCCCAAGCCCCCTTGTCTGTGATCCCAGGAATGTCAGATCGCATGTAGGCATGAAGGAGACACAAAGGAACAAGCAAACAGGGCCCCTTCAACATCGCCATCCAAAAAAATCTTAGTTGGATTGGGCCTTTTTCTTGCCGTTTTCCTACCCTTGTTCCTATTCCTGTGTCCTGGTTGACCAAGAGGAATGTGGAATTTCTTAGAATCTGCCGTGTTTTAGTCATTGAATTTACCTGAAATAGAAATGATATAGAAATCCCTTCCTCCTGCCTTTTCTTCCACATGGAAACAAAGAACCCAACTTTTACTTTGATGCTTTTTCCCCCTCCCAGTCCTCTGAGTGAGAAATAACTACAAGGCTCTGTGATTGATAGCCCGTGACCAGCACCATGGGTAGAAAGGTCAACGCTTGGGGAAAAAGATGAATGAATGTTCCATTTGAATGCATTGAATATTAACTCCTCCTTGTGAAACTTTCTGATGGCGAGCCATGTCTTCGGAGCAACTAGCTGACATTTTAGTGGCTAGAAAAGGCAAATATTTTTAAAAATTAATGGGAATCGTCCTGGATGAGAACAGATGAAGCTAGGGAAACTCTGAATTCTTTTCCAAGCACCGATCGCTTGCTACTGCTTGTCGCACTGCTCTTTCTTCGTGAGCCAAGAGTGAGCCCGTGGCCCTGGCTTTCTTAACACAGGGATGGAAGGGAAGATAATGGCCCGGTGAAATGGCAGCGGGTGAATGGCATGATCACACCATGTCCTGGGTGACATGAAACTACTATGTTGCCACCCCTCCGAGGGCAGCACACGAATGGATTCCACCCAGTGACGCCCCCGAGCGTCCTCATATCCCCCCTGGTGGAGCACTCCCAAAGAGCGGAGCTGGAGAGTCGACCCTCTTCCTTCCCGCCCCCTCCTGAGCTCCCCTTCCTTCTGGCTTGATGAGGGCTCCTTTTTATGGTGCCCCCAAGAGATGACTCATACCACTTCTGTGCCTTCCCGTCTCCTTTCCTCTGCTGATCTGAGTCAGAGCAGCACAAGGCTCTTTGGACGAGGTGGAGGGCGGGGCAGGCACAGGTAGGGGAGGAGAGAACTAGTGGTGCTTTTCCTGGAATCTGTTTTCCTGCTTGGCAGGTTGGCAGGTACCTAGTGCTCCCTGCGGTCCCTTCCTGTCACCCAGGAAGCCGTAGCTGGCAGGAGGGGTTGCCTTGTGTCGCACACATCTGGGAA